TTCATAACTTGTGGGGAGGAGGCAATTTTGTCTGCTAATTTTATCCTTAACAGGGTACCCCACAAGAAACTTAATTAAACACCTTATGAATTATGGAAAGGTCGAAAACCTACCTACAATTACCTCAAAGTGTGGGGGTGTTTAGTTAATGTGGCAGTCCCTAGTCCTAAAACGACTAAGATAGGACCAAAAATTGTTGATTGTGTGTTCATTGGTTATGCAAACAATGGTAGTGCATATAGATTTTTAGTTCATAGATCTGAAAATCCGGATATGCATGTAAATACTATTATTGAGTCAAGGAATGCGTCGCTTTTTGAACACATTTTTCCTAGTAAGGAAACTGAAGAGAAAATTTCAAATATAAGAACTTTTGATACTGCTATGGGTAGTAGTGAAGGCCACAATGATAATGAATCAGATGAACCTAGACGTAGCAAGAGAGCTAGGATCTCTAAATCATTTGGTCCAGATTTTCTAACATACCTATTAGAAAATGAGCCTCAAAACTCTTTAGATCATAAGTACAAGACAGAGGATGCCGGTACTAAGAAATTTGTTGTTGGCCGTTTTTTAGATTTTAAAATGATGGATTCCAAGGCGGTTATTAGCCAAGTTCAAGATCTCCAATTAATTCTCCATGACATACACGCGGAAGTGATGGTTCTCAACGAATCTTTCCAAGTAGCGGCAATCATTGAAAAATTGCCACCATCTTGGAAAGAATTCAAAAATTATCCAAAGCATAAGCGCAAGGAGATGAAATTGGAAGAACTGACAGTGCAGCTCAGAATTGAGGACAACGGTGGTTCCAACAAGAAGTCAGGAAACCACGTCATGTAGGCTAACGCAAATATTGTGAAACGTGAACATGAGTCAAAATTCAACAACAAGAAGCGGAAACATGATGACAATAGTCCCAAACAAGGATCCACTAGTAAGATCAAAGGGATCAACAACGAGTTCAATAAGCGGTTCATAGGCAAGTGTTTTGTGTGCGACAAAGATGGACATCGCGCTAAGGATTGTCATGTTCGCAAGGACAGAAAGAGTTTAAGCAAAAAGCCAGCATAAGCCAACATAGTTGATGATTTTTATCTTTCCGATGGAGTGGCAGACATCAATCTTGCCGTAGTAGTCTCTAAAGCAAATTTGGTGGGCAATCCCAAGGTGTGGTAGGTGAATATTGGAGTAACCCGCCATATCTGTGCAGATAAGAAGATGTTCACAACCTACAAAGTGGTGGAAGGTTGTGAACAACTTTTTATGGGAAACTTCTTAACTTCAACTATGGAAGGACAAGGAACTCATGCTCAACAATGTACTCCATGTGCTAGAAATTCACAAAAATTTCTTTTCTGGGTCATTGTTGATCAAGAATGAGTTTAAATTAGTCGTTGAATATGATGATGTTGTACTCTCCAAGAGTGGAATGTATGTGGGGCGAGGTTATATGAGTGATGGGCTTTTTAAGCTCAATGTAAGTACTGTTGTACCTAATTTGGCTGTTAATAATAAGAACACATCTCTATTTATGTTGTTGAGTCTTCTTTTTTATGGCATGGTAGATTAAGATATGTTAATTTTAATTCTTTGCGTAGACTTGTTGCTTTAGAATGTTTACCAAACTTAGAATTTGATCCTAATCATAAATGTGAGATTTGTGTTGAGGCAAAACTCATTAAGGCACCATTTAATAAAGTTGAAAGAAGTACAAAACCTCTAAGTTTAATTCACACAGATATTTGTAATTTAAAATTTGTTCAAACTAGAGAAGGTAAGAAGTACTTCATTACTTTTATTGATGATTGCATTCGATATTACTATCTTTACTTATTGAGAAGTAAAGATGAAGCCGTAGAAGCTTTTAGGCAATATAAACTTGAGATTGAAAATCAATTTGGCAAAACTATAAAGATAGTTTGGAGTGACAGAGGTAGTGAGTATGATGCTCCATTTGAGGAATTTTGTTCTGAACATGATATTATTCACCAAACCACTACACCCTATTCTTCTCAATTAAATAGAATTGCTGAGAGAAAAAATCAAACTCTTAAAAAGATGCTAAATGCTATGTTGATTAGTTTAGGGTTACTTCATAACTTGTGGGGATGAGGCAATTTTGTCTGCTAATTTTATCCTTAACAGGGTACCCCACAAGAAACTTAATTAAACACCTTATGAATTATGGAAAGGTCGAAAACCTACCTACAATTACCTCAAAGTGTGGGGGTGTTTAGTTAATGTGGCAGTCCCTAGTCCTAAAACGACTAAGATAGGACCAAAAATTGTTGATTGTGTGTTCATTGGTTATGCAAACAATGGTAGTGCATATAGATTTTTAGTTCATAGATCTGAAAATCCGGATATGCATGTAAATACTATTATTGAGTCAAGGAATGCGTCGCTTTTTGAACACATTTTTCCTAGTAAGGAAACTGAAGAGAAAATTTCAAATATAAGAACTTTTGATACTGCTATGGGTAGTAGTGAAGGCCACAATGATAATGAATCAGATGAACCTAGACGTAGCAAGAGAGCTAGGATCTCTAAATCATTTGGTCCAGATTTTCTAACATACCTATTAGAAAATGAGCCTCAAAACTTCAAGGAAGCAATGTCAAGTCCTGAAGCTCCGTTGTGGAGAAAGGCTATGAATAGTGAAATTGAATCAATACTGCAAAATCATACTTAGGAACTGGTGGATCTTCCACCAAGGTGTAAACCTCTTGGATATAAGTAGA